TCGGACGTTGAAAAATTCTCCGTTAATAATATCTTCCTCTTCACTGTGCCTGGGAGAGCGTCGTTCGCTATGCATCTCACCTCCGTCACTCTTTTGGTGGGCGCGCTGGCCCCTGGCCTGACTGTCGCCGCTGCTCCTCCTCACTCTAATAAACCCGAGTGGCCGGGGTGGCCGAGATGGCCGGGGCGCCCGCGCCCCATTTCCAATATCCAGATCGGTCCCCGCGCCTTCTACCTCGTCGACCAGATGGATGAGGGCAGCCTGAAGAAGAAGCTTGAGAGCTGTAAGGAGCGCCGAAACACGCCCTCCGACTTCTCCATCAGCCACCGCGGCGCCCCACTGCAGTTCCCAGAACACACCAAGGAGTCTTGGTTAGCCGCTGCGCGCGAGGGTGCTGGCATCATCGAGTGCGACGTGGCCTTCACCAAGGACCTCCAGCTCGTCTGTCGCCATTCCCAGTGCGACCTACACACCACCACAAACATTCTCGCAGTCCCCGAACTGGCCGCGAAGTGCACGAAACCCTTCACCCCGGCCTCCGTGGACGGCAAAACTAAAGCCTCCGCCAAATGCTGCACAAGCGACATTACCCTTGCCGAATTCAAGTCCCTCTGCGGCAAAATGGACTCCTCAGATCCCACCGCCATGACCCCGGAGCAATACCAGAGTGGCGTCATGGACTGGCGCACCAGCCTGTACAACGATGGCTGTCCCCAACTGCAGTCGCATGCCGAATTCATCTCCCTGATCAACTCGCTCGGCCTCAAGTTCACCTCGGAGCTCAAGACGCCCGAGGTCCCCATGCCCTTCCCGTCCCCTGGCGGCAAGAACTACACCCAGGAGATGTACGCGCAGCAACTCGTTGACGAGTTCCGCGCCGCGCGCATCCCGCCGTCCCGCGTATTCCTCCAGTCCTTCCTGCCCGCTGACATCTTTTACTGGATCGACAAGGAGCCTGCCTTTGCGCGTCAGGCTATCTATCTGGACGAGCGTGTCGATACCCCCGAGGGATACGAAGAGGCTGTCAGAGGCATGAGGGATCTGGCGAGGCGGGGAGTGAGGATTATGGGCCCGCCCATCTTTGCTCTTTTGGACCTGGAGGATGATGGTGACGATCAGAATAGCAAGCACAAACCACCCGGAAATGGTAACGGCAACGGCAACGGAAATAACAAGAAACCACGCATCGTACCATCTACATACGCTAAGGCGGCGAAGAAGGCCGGTCTCGATCTGGTTACGTGGTCATTGGAGAGATCGGGTCCGCTGAAAAATGTGGCGGCTGACAAGGAGTATTATTACCAGACGGTGGCCGGCGCGGTGGATGGCGATGGGGATGTCTATGACGTCGTGGATGCGTTGGCGAAGCGGGTTGGCGTAAAGGGCATGTTTTCAGACTGGCCTGCTACGGTTACTTACTATGCCAACTGTATGGGGAAGTAAATGATACAGTAATATTGTAGGCGCCAGCGGAGATGTGGACGTTGCTCTACAGATCACTGTATCCAGCTAGGTGGCCTGGTGGGTTTGAGGTGAGGAGGGTAGGTGTGTGTGTGTTTTGATCTGTTATTGTAAATATTTCCTGAATATAACTATATATATATTTATATATGAGTGTGTGTATATATATTTTGGTAGATAAAGGCTAATTGATACGCGATAGATATCAATTATGTGGATTTGGGGAATACTGTTTCCGAC